GTGTGTGTGTCTATGTGGGTGTGTGTATGTGTGTGTGTGAGTGTGTGTATGTGTGTGTGTGTGAGTGTGTGTGTGTCTATGTGGGTGTGTGTGTGAGTGTGAGAGTGTGTGTGTGTGAGTGTGAGAGTGTGTGTGTGTGTGTGAGTGTGTATGTGGGTGTGTGTGTGAGTGTGTGTGTATGTGTGTGTGTGAGTGTGAGAGTGTGTGTGTGAGTGTGTGTATGTATGTGGGTGTGGGTGTGAGTGTGTGAGTGTGAGAGTGTGTGTGTGAGTGTGTGTGTATGTGGGTGTGGGTGTGTGAGTGTGTGTGTGTGAGTGTGTGTGTGCGCACGCAGTACTGTTAGGAGACTCAGACGGCGGGGAGAGAACATGGGGTTACACTGGGGGTTGGTCTGTGGAACAGCAAGCCAGCCAACAAACCCCCCAAGACACTTGCAACAAAAATGTGCAGTCAGGAAGTCTATTATGATAGACAACAAACTCAACTATGAATCGTGGCCCGTGATCCCTGTGAAGTCAGTGCTGACCGTGGGCAGGGCTCACCATGGGCCAGAAGATCTAGCGTGGATGGGGCACCCCTGTGCCTAAAATGGGACATCCAGAACAGCAGCACCCGAGTGTCCTGGGAGATGTGGGGGCCCCGAGTCAGCTCCATGGACTGAGCCTGATCACACAGGACAGCGGGGCTGCGGAGAGGCACCCTAGGAGGGACGTGGTTTTCTTGCACAAGACTCAGACCTGTTTCATGGTCTAGGTATGTGCATTTAGAATAGTGATAACAGGATGAACTGAAAGAAAAGTGAGAGACAGTCCTGCCACCACTTGGTTGACGAGAACCAGCCAGTTTGGGGACGCCGGGGGCGGGCTGCCCTCTGGAGGCACGGATGTTGGTGCCACCTGCGGGAGCATGCAGCTTGGCCGGCGCGGTTGTGCACGTCCGACCTCCACCCACAAGTGGCACCCACGGGCGTGCTACATCAAGAGGCCTTTGAACTCCAGGGGCTCGGGGCGTTCATGGTGGCTTTGCTGGTGGTGAAACCCTGGAAGCTCCCCTGCGTCCATGGACGGGAGAACAGAGTGATGAGTGGACCCAGCACACAAAGGGGGGTCAGCGGCAGAGGAAACAGAAGGCCCCCAGCTAGGACATCACCCCAGATGCAGCTCAGGAACAGAACACTCAGGGGAACAAAGCAAGCCACGGAACAAGATACACCCCACCTAACACCCACGTTAATAAAATTCAAAAACAAGCAAGGCGAACTGTAGGACTTAGGCACGCTATACGTACACTAAAGCTGCAAAGAAAAGCAAGAGACTGAGAAAAGTGTGAGGACGTGCCTACTTCTGGGGCAAAGTCCAGGGTCGGGTGTTCCCAACAGGTGAGAAGGGGTGGGGACGCCTGGGTCCTGGGTGGGCTGTGGGTACTTCTACACATCGCTGCCCAGAGTTTGCATGTGTCCACTCGATCCAGAGTTTGCATGTGTCCACTCGATGGCATCAGATACACCCTCACAGGAATGGAGGGTGGGAGCGGGGGCAGGAGCCCAGTTCACGTGGCCTTATGAGGCCTGAGCTGAAGCCTGTGAGCCATGATCAGTGTGAAAGGATGCTTCATTCCCTCCCAGCTCAGCAGCTCACCTGTGTCCTGGGTGCCTTCGTTCCAGCCCAGCTGAGTGATGGCCTCTTGCTGGCACTGCGTCCACCCCCCATGCCCCCCACCCCACATCTGCTGAAGACAAGGCCCTGGCAGGGGCCCAGGCCAGGAGAGTGCGGGAGGGGCAGCTGTTGTCCACAGCCCAGATCAGCCCCTGCATGCCCAGCATCCAGAGGATGGCATGTGGGCACCCGCTCTGTGGACAGACAGGTGTGATGGGCAGGGGATGGGGAAGGGGGATGTGCTGAGTGAGCTCATGACAAGCAAGCAGGTGTGGAAAGCCCCAGCCACCACCCGCGGACCGAGTTCCCGACTATGTCAGCAGCTGGGACCCTGAGGAGCAGGTTGGTCTGTCAGGAGTGGGTATGTGGGGGCTGAATCCTGAGTCCACCTGTGAAGGGCTCTGGGGAAGGATGGGTGCCCAGGGAGCAGCTGGGGCGGCTGTGACGTGGACAAGTCCCTCCTCCCCAGGATCCGGGCCTCGTAGGAAAAGAATTCCATCCGGCTGACTGACCTACACCACCAGGCATTAGGTGTAGACAGTCGGAAATAAGACAAAAATAGACAACGAAATGCTGGTGTTCCAGATCACGGGTTCCCTGAGGGTGATGCCAGGACACAGGACCTCCCTGCAAGGCACCAGCAAACTCTGTGTCTGCCAGATTAGGAGTCTGGGCTGCAGACACCTGCAGCCATGGCCCTTTCTGTGGCTGCAGCCCTGCCAGACACTCAGTCCCTCTGGTGGGTAAAGCAGACCCCGCCCAGATGCAGGAATGGGCACTTGGCCTGAACTCAGCCAGGCAGTCCTTCCACCCTGACCACCGGGGTGGTGCAACCAGGCGCCTGGCCCTCCCCTGGCCCTTGTGGTGATGTTTGGCCCAAGCAAAGTGCTGTGGCAGGCGAAGAAGAGCCAAACCCCAAAGGTGTTACTTGGCCTCAGAGTCCAGGAGTACCTGTACCTGGATAGGTCAATCATCTGGATCAATAAGCTCCCTTGCTGCCCGAGCTGCCTCAAGTGGGCTGTCACTTGTCACCAAACTTGATCTGGCTGAGCCATGTGGCCTTGATGCCAGGAGGTTGGGATCTGGCCCGGTTCTGCCTCACACAGCCTCTGGACGGTCCCGTGGGAGTAACCAGTGGCCCTCCTAATGCTTAGAGTCTGGGAATGAGATTGTTCTCTGGGTTTGCTCAAAACAACCTCTTTGAATGTGGAAAAGGACAACAAAATAAAATTTAAAAGTTCAGGAAAAGAACTATTTCTGTAAGGGTGGCCTCTGGCCCCCGGTGGCAGCCATGGTGACTCCCAGGTCACAGAATTCAGCTCCCTGGGCCTCAGGGCCAGGAGAGGGTGACTTCTCCAGCCAGAGGCGGATGTAACGCTGCCCAAAGACTGGGTCCCAACACCAAGCCCAGTCCTGCTGCGGGATCTTAGTCGGCGCAGGCAACCCTTGACCTTCCCTTGACGCTGCTGGGGTGTTGAAAGCCCTGTTGTTGCAGACGGTCCTTAGAGGGACGATGAGGACCTCGTCGGTCAGCAAGGAATGCAAACTCCTCTACGAGGGGATGGGGGCGGGGCGGGCCTGCCCAGAGCACCATCCTGAGGTGAAGGGACGGTGCCTCTCGGGGCTGTGAGTCCACATGCCTGGACCACAGGCTGGGGGTCAGCAACCCCACCTGAGGCCCCTGGAGCACCTGCCCATCAGTGCACCTGAGATTGTGGCTCTGGACAGGCAGCAGAAAAGGCACCTGGGGAAACCACACAGACCCCACGCACCCCAGTGGGTCACACAACAGTCCACAAGTATAGAAAGACCTAGAAAAGGACACCCCAGGCCCCCATGGCCCCGCGCAGAGTCTTGCTCCCGTCTCCCCAGGCACGGACAAGCTGAAGGCGTGGCAGGGAGCACCCACGGACCTGCCACCTGAGGTCACAGCCGCGCACCGTGTCGTTTGCCTCCTTGCCGTGTGTCACGCCCCACCCCTCCAGGGGCCCACGGGTCCGTCTTACTTCTTGATGCACTTCAGAGCAAAATGGCAGACATCCTAATGTACGATCGCCAAGCGCTTCAGCTGGCACTGCCCTAACTAGACTTCAACGTTTGCTTGTGTTTTTCTAGGGAAAATTTACTCGCTGTGCAAAACACACACTGTAAGCATACCCATCAAGGAGCGTGACGAAGGCGCCCCCCTGAGTGGCCCCTCCCTGTCAAGACAGAGGCTGTGTCCCTCCCCCTCCCCCGGCCGCTCACTCAGCACGCGCCTCAGTGAACATCAGAGCTGAAATGACCCGTGCGTGCTGCCGGGACCTGGATCACCAGGAACGGGAGAGCGGGCTGGCAGATTTCGTGACATAACCAGTCGGCTGCATTCTTAAGGACTCGCACAGGCCCTGCCCTTCCCTCTGAGTTATGTGCCACGATGCTGCGGTCCTGGCTGTTCAGGGAACAGCTCTGTTTGAGGCTTGCAGGGAGGACCCCCCGGCCCCATAGATCTGATCAGAAACAAGCTGGGAAGCCACTTTCCAAGGTCAGGTTTATAGACAGTGAACAGTGGCGTCCATCCCACCGGGAGTGCAAGGCGGGCTTGCCTGGCACAGGGATGACTGCCGTGGGCAGGGCGACCTCACACATCCGGTGTCAGGACCTTGCTCACTCTCTGCACGGCTCACGGGCAGTCATGGAGGCTCCCCTGCCAGGCCCAGGGATGGCCCCGGGGCTTCTCAGCACAGCCCCTGGTGAGCGCCAGTGCCCAGCCTGGTTCCGGGTATCACTACAGCTTTTCCTCCTGGAGCTCGGGGTGAAGGGCAGAGGCAGGGGCGGTGCTCACCCAGGGCTCACCAGCACTGCCACCCCTTCCTCCCTGTGGACAGAGCCAGCACTGCCCTCTGAGCACCTCCCAGCAAACACCTCAGACGAGACAAGCGTCCTATCCCTGGTCCACTGTGAGAGCCACCCAAACGCCTGGATCGTGTCTCTTCATCCACAACCACCCCAAACCGAGTGCTGACATCAGCTCAGCACAAACCGAGAACCACGATCTGTGCCCCACTGACCGGCGCTCAGACACTGGCTCAGCTCTAACCCCCTGCCGATGCAGACACAGACCTGACCCGAGAACGCACACCACTCAACACCAAGCACCTGCCACGTGGACACAGACAACCACCCGCCGATGCGGACACGGACCAGCTTAACACTAAACACCTGCCAACAAGGACACAGAACAGACGTACCAATGGACAGCAGCTCAGCGTTAACCATGTACAACATAACCAGTAAAGAACAAGGGAAACAAGACAGGACGTGGCGCAAATCCAACTCCAAAGAGAAAAGGAAGCTGTCCTCTACCTTGCGATCCCTGGTCACAGGCCGGTATCTCTGCTCCAGGGCCGTGCGGTCCACCCGCCTCTTCGGCTCCACACGGCTCTTCTCTCTGGGCCGCCAGCCAACCCTGTGAACAACACACAAGGGTTTAGACGGGACACGCAGGAAGCGGCCCCAGGACTTCCTGGTGGCTCAGTGCTAAGGAATCCACCTGCCGACGCAGGAGACACGGGTTCGACTCCTGGTCCAGGAAGATGCCACATGCCATCCTCGGGGGACTCCCTCACGTGCCTATCCCAGGCCCCACCAGCCACCCAGCCTACATGTGCTGTGCACACTCCCCCACAGTCACACCCCCACGAGCGTGGGCATAGACAGTCATCGGCGGGCTTGAGGTTTCTACAGCCAGATTTCCATCACACTGTCCTTATTTCTCTACCCCGCGCCTCCCGGAGATGGCCAAGTAGCAGCAGATTCTAGCATGTTCTTGTGGGTCACTGCAGTGTCCCTGGGAAGGGGACAGTGACATCCTGTCCCTCCCCACGGATGTCCCCACACTACTCTGTGCAGGGCCAGCTGAGGCCCCATGATGCTCTGTGATGGCAGTGGGGAGGGCTCCCGGGACTGGACCCTCCTCTGCAGCCTCTGCGGCCGATTCCTCCAGCCTCTCTGGTCCTCGGTGTCTCCCTGCGACCTTCCAGCCACCAGCTCACGGTCTGGGACACCTCTGCCTCATTGTCTCCCCCCACCTGGCCTCTCGATCACTCCTCTGACCCCTCTAAGGCACTAGTCCTCGGTTCCCATCCACAGTCCCTGCAGGTTAGGAGAAAGGAAGGACTCATGGCCTGTAACAAACACTTCTTTAGAAACTGCACTGGATTCACAGGCAAGAGACGGGCTCCGTCCTAGCCCCAGGGCTGGCCTCTGAGGACACCCAGCCCTGTGCCCTGTCTTTCGGTGCCTCTTTTAGGACATGAAGGTGAAGACTTGTGCCTCCCTCAGGACTGTTGCAGAGACGGAGAGAAGTCGTGAGGATTTGAGAGGCTCCAGGCCTGAGGGGCTCTGGAGGTGACTGCCCCCTGCCCAGCAGCTGCCAGCCTCGCTGGGAGCCCATGTAGGACTCACACGCCCATGAGTGTCCAGGGGCCCAGTCTGAGTCTCCACGCCTCCACCTGCACCCAGTGTTCAAACGAGCACTCACGAATCTGGAGCACCCCCCCACCCGCCCCGCCCCGAAAACCTGCCTTCCTGCGCTCCGGTGAGGTTTCACATTTGAGAAGCACACGAGGGCCCTCCTAGCATAGCCGTGCTTGCGGAGCCATGGGTTCATCCTCTCCAGGTGCGTGCCGGCTCACGTCACTCTCCTCTGATTTATCTAGGATCGTTTGGACTGTCAGCGAAACATAAAAAATAGCTGCCTGCAGAGCCAAATACACTGCAGGCTGCTATCTCACTTGCGGCCTAATTAATAGTTTCCAGGTTGCCACGGCCCATGGGAACATCTGGGCCTCGTCTCTCCAGTCCACAGATGTCAAGGCCGAGTGGAGGCTGGGCTTCAGAGACCCCTTCTCACGCTCATTCTTCAAGGCTGTTTGTTCCTTTTTAATCTTTAAATTGGAGTGCGCGAACATGTTTGTAAAACAGACCGGCTCTTTGCCAGAGGGTTGGTGGCACCCCTGAAGATCTGTGGACCGCGTGAGGCCACGAGGGCGTTCTCGAGACCCTTAGAGACAAGGGATGACTAAAGACAGTATTCTGAGGCTTCCAGGGGCCGCAGTCCTTTAGTCTAAGGCAACCCTTCTTTCTGTTAAATCTTTCCCAAGTATAGCAGACACACAGAGGCATCCAGCTGCCCACACTGCCACACCCTGCCCCACACTGCCATGGACCAGAGCCCCGACAGGAAGTACAGTGTGGCCCCAGGCCCCTGGCCCTGGGGACCAGTCCAGCCACGGACACAGCAGGTGGTCAGTAGGGTCACTCTGTTGGTGGAGTCAGTGTGTAGCTCCGCTCATCTAGCACTGTGAGATGCATCATCCTTTTATTTATAATTGTGGTGAAATACACATGGGGTAAGACTGACCGTCCTGGTCACTGGTCAGTGGTACCAAGTACATGCTCAGCGCTGCGCCTCCGTCATCCTCATCTGTCCCCAGAGCCCTTTTCACCTTGAAAACCTCAAACTGTCCCCACTAGATATGCCCCCATCTCCCCATTCCCAGCCCCTGGCCCCACCTCTACTTTCTGCCTCCATGGGTCTGACTGCTCCAGGGACCTCATATCGGTGGAACCATACAGAATTTATCCTTTGGTGTCTGGTTTATTTCACTCAGCTCAATATCCTCAAGGTTCATCCATGTGGAAGCATGCCTCAGAACTTCCTTCCTTTTGGAGGCTAACGCTCCATTGCGTGGATGGACCACATTTTGTTTATCCATCATCTGTCAGTGGATATTTGTGTTGCTATGCTTCTTGGCTGTTGTGGACAATGCTGTTGTGAACACAGGTGTACAAATATCTCTGAAACCCTGCTTTCAATTCTTTTGGGGTATGCATGGCATAAATAGAACTGGAGCATCAGGCTTCCAGTTTCTCCACATCCTCACCAACACTTATTATTCTGTGCTTGTTTGTTTTTTTTAATAGGAGCCCCTGCTAGCTCAGCTGGTAAAGAATCTGCCTGCAATGCAGGAGAACCCCCTCTCTGGTTCAATTTCTGGGTTGGGAAGATCTGTTAGAGAAGGGATAGGTTACCCACTTCAGTACTTAGAGAATTCCAAGGACTGTATAGTGCAAGGGGTTGCAAACTGTTGGACATGACTGAGCGACTTTCACTTACATCCTGATGGGTATGAGCCCAAGCAGAATCTTGTGATTCTGATTTGCATTTTCCTAATGATTAGTGATGGGAAGAGCTGACTCACTGGAAAAACCCTTGATGCTGGGGAAGATTGAGGGCAGGAGGAGAAGGGGGTGACAGAAGATGAGATGGTTGGATGGGATCACCAACTCAATGGACGTGAGTTTGAGCGAACTTTGGAAGATGGGGAAGACAGGGAAGCCTGGCGTGCTGTAGTTCATGAGGTCGCAAAGAATCAGACACAACTGAACAGCAATGATTAGTGATGTTAAGCATCTTTTTATGTGAAAGATCTTTCCACATTTTTTGTGTAAATTCTGTCTGCATGGAGGTGGCTTCCGGCACAGGTTACAATGAACAGGGCTCTGAGAATGTAACTGGGGAACAGCCTTTGTGAGCACATGTGAGCATCATCCACCTTCAACTCCTGGGAGGGGAGTGGGTGGAGAGAGAGGGACTTTTCAAAACTCTTGCCCATTTTTCTGTTGGGTTGTCTTTTTTTTTGTTGGTTGGTAGGAGTTTTGTGGAAATACATTCTGCATAAAAGCCCTTTATTGACTGTGGCCTAAGAAATGCTGTTAGAAAAAAAAAAAAAAGCTATGACTCTTCCTCCAAAGGTTGTTCCTTCTGCTGCACACATCATGCCGATCTATCCATCCCTCTGTCTGTCCATTCATCCCTTCATCCACGATCAAGATCCCTGTCTTGTCTAGACTTTGACACCACCCCCCTCACTCCTCCTGAGACCCAGCAGACTGCCACCCTAGAGGCCCTCCTTCCCTGCGCTGTATAAGCCCCCCTCCCAGGGCACCAAGGCATCTGCGGGCTGGTCCAGGTGGCCGTTCACCCCTGCTGTGACCGTGTCCCTTCCCAGGTGCTGGGAGCTCCCAGGCCCTGCACCTCTGCCTATACCAGTCCTGCTGGATCTGCTTCCCTGTGAACTCACCGTCCACAGCCTGTGTAGCTGTCAGAGCCCCTTGCCCATCCCACCCTGGTGACGAGGAGCCAGGCCTGTCCCCAGGTTCTCATGCGCACTATCTGTTGCAGAGTCTGTTATTAATGAAGGCAGAGATGACAGTGGCCAAGCTTGGCTGGAAGCCAACCCTGGACTAGAGCCATCCACGACTCCTCCCAGCCACCCCATGAAACAGGTTATAGTGTCACCCCACCCTACAGGTGAGGACCCTGAGGCCCAGACGGGCAGAACAACTCTCCCCAAACCACACACTGAGCAGACTCCACTATTCCAGAGTAGCTGTGGCCTGGTATGGGGAGCGGGGGCACACCTGAGTGGTCTCCACGTTACTGAGCTGAAAACCAGGATAAATGAACGAACTAGGGGATGAAGCCTGCAGCAAACAGCACAACCTCCGAGACAGAGGACAGAGTGTTAGCACTAAATGGGGGCCTTCCCATCAGCAGGGCCACCTGGGACCAGACTGTTCTTCCTGTAAAGCAACGAGAAGAAGGTAAAAGCCAAGAGGAAGATAATAAGCAGAGAAAAAGAGCCTGGGAATTTTCCCCTAAAGCAAGCATGATTGCTTTGGACACCGGGATCTGGGCGCAGTTGGAGAGACATCGGGTCATGATAAGTGTTTTATTTCATTTGCTGCCGGCACAGGGGATAAAGGCTGTCTGAAGCCTGGAGCGTGAGGCTGCAGAGAGGCTGAGGTGATAAACAGGCTGGGTGAAAGCTGCCGCACGCCCGGCCCGTGACCCAGGCTGTTCCCACGTCTGCTGAGGCTCTGGCAGAGGCTGTCCTGGAGGCTGTCACCGAGCCATCGGCGCACGTCTCCGGGGACCCTGCCTGCTCAGTGCTGCAGGCGGATCCTGAGTGTCGAGCATGAGCTGACTCCCTGGCTGTCTGTCCTGATGAAGGATGCATCCGTCCTCAGGAAGGTGGCGGGGTTGGGAGGTTGGGGGCTGGGGTGCGAGCCCCCTTCGACCGGGAGGTCAGTACTGTGGGCCCTGCAGAGGGTGTTGAGTGTAAGCTGTGGTCGGGGGTGGGTTGGGGGGCGGACACTCCCAAGCACCCTCTCCTGCGGCTGGTCAGATCTCCACCAGCACCCAGTCACCTGGGATCTAAGATTTGAGAGAAACGTCCCCGCTGGGCTTGGAGTCTGCTCCCTCGAGAGCTCTAGAGGATGGACAGGGTTTTCCTCCCATGGGCTCCCTCCCAGCCAGTGGGAGCAAGAGCAGGAGGCGCTGAGCATGTGCCTGCCCCCCACCTTCCCCTTTGGACAGTCAGAGGGGATCTGCCCACTGACCGGCCACACCCACACCCACTGGGTCACCACCTGGGTCTGGAGTCCCAGCCGGAGACTCACCAGCTGCCCCATGGCACCTCCTCTGTGGCTTCCCCCGGCCACCCCCACCACCCTGATTCACACACCCCGGGCAGACAGGTGCCTGGAACCACCCGTCAGCTCAGTTCAGCTCAATACTCAGGAGCACACGCCCAAGGCAGCCAGAGGCCACCAACCCAGAGCCCAGGGTCCCCAGTGGCTGCGGGGGGAGCAGCCAGGGGAAGACGCGGGCGTGCGGCCGGTGGTGGGGGGCAGATAGAGCCCGGCCAGCAGCCCTCTCCCAGTGATACCTGGGGTGAGCCAGTACCCACCGCGGGTTTGCCGTGACACACACCTCCTCAGATGTAGACTGGGTGGAGAAACACATCGGGTGAAGGAGGGAGGACCAAGGAGACACAGGATTTGAAGAATGGAGGGACCAGCTTGGCGAGATGCGGCTCTGGGGAAGCCTGGCCCCGAGGGCTCTGCCCGCCGAGGGTCTGATTGCCAGGGAAGCATGGCCCCACGCTTCACCTTGGGAACCGGAACACCGAACGCACCTCTGCAGCCCCTATACGGCCTCAGGGAGGGAAGCAGCGGCTCACGAGCACGTGCTATTTACCCAACGCAGGGTGTCAGCTCAGTGACCTCCACGGCACCCCCATAAGCAGTATCGCTTTTGCCCCCAGGGCCCGGAGTACATGACTCGCCGAGGTCACCACAGCAGCCTGGATGCCAGGGACCACCTAGAATGTTCCATCTCGGCCTCCAGACCTGTCAGGAGGGAGGCTCTGGCACCGCCACAGAGAGGCGCCCACAAGCCTCACTCCAAATGATGGAGGGCAGCCCTGCAGACCCTCATGGGGAGCTGGGCACACACCAGAAGGACAGGACGAGTCCGACGGGTCAGCGAGCAAGCTTGGCCATGGACGCAGGTGCTACACGGGTGACCGCAGTCCATCCCGAAAGCAGATAAACAAGGGCTGGGGGACAGTGCAATGCCAAAGGATAAACATAGAGGAGATGACAAGAGTGCACCCGAAGCAGGAGGGACAGAGCAGAGTGGGGACATGCGTGTGATAAGGCGCACGCAGCTGGGGGCTGGGGGGCGGAGGAAATCGGGAGATGGGCTGGGGGTGTCCAGTGAACGGTTTTCTCGTGGCCTGTGTGTCTGCAAAACTTCATAGTAAGATGTGGAGAAAAGACAAAAATAGGGTGAAGGTTGGGAAGAACAAGAACAAAAAGAAAGCCCCGAAGTTTGAACCTGGGGGAAGGAGAGCAGACTGGCTCCTCTGTCCCCACAGCTCAGTCCCCAGCACAGATGCCCGAGGGCTTGAGTGGATGGGGCAGACGGCTCAGACTCAGAGGCGGGGCCCCAGGAGGGCTTGGAGCCTGGGATTAATAAAACTCTGAAACACTCGTGCCTGGGGACACTTGCCAAATCTTGCCAGGCCGGGAGGACCCCCCAGGGCCTGGGTGAGTCACCGTGACCTCCTCCCTGAGGGAGCAGAGCAAACATGCCACAGCTGCAAAGACCAGCCAACAAAGAGTCAAGAAGAAAACGGGCGAGAAAGGACCATCAGGGCGCAGCCAGAGAACACCCACCCAGCTGAGCCGAGTGGAGGACCTTTCCTTGGAGTCCAGGCAGAGCCCCGGAGGTCGGGCCTCCACACAAGACACAGGAGACTCAGAGGAGGCCGAACCCATCCCCAGAGCAATGTTATGCTTCCTCCCAAAGGCCCCCAAAGACCTCACTCCCTAGGAGCCCCCACGACCCCATGACCACGAAGACCTTGTGAGGCCTCCCCCACCGTGGGTCCCAGTCCCCCCACGTCCCTCCCCCAAAGGCAGAGCTGCTGTTGCCTCCCTTCCTGGCTGGGGTGAACCTGCCCCACCCCAGGACTGCCAGGTGCTCACCCTCACTTCCTCTCCTCCTTGCTCCCCTTAGCCGAGTGGCCAGAAGCCCAGTGGTCAATTTGGTTTAAAAAAAAATTAGCAAGACAATTAGTTGGCACCACCATTTGCTGCCCTTTCTCTATTAGCCCGGAGGGTCTGAGGGCCCCTGAAGCTGGTGTGGCCGCCCCGCAGCACGACGTGGCCCAGGGGCTAGTCCCTACTGACTAACTGGAGCTGGCTCGAGGAGGGACCTGTGACTCTGTGGGCCCTGCAGCAGAAGGCAGGGGAGCACGCCTGCCACGGGGCCAAAGGCGGCGGGCGTCCTCTCCGAGACTGGGCCCCTTGAGCATCCGGCCACTGCAAGTCCTCCTGGTGCAGACACCCAGCATGGGGTGCCTGGACGGGGAGCTTGGCTGCGGGAGCCAGGTCCTCCTGCCACATAGCTCTGGGGACGCCATACGTGTGCCAGACAGTCCTCTGAGTGGCCGCACTGACCTCCGACACCACCCAGAAGTCATGACGGTCAGTTCCCCACAGGCTGGGGGCGCGGCCTTGGTCACTATCTTATGGGCCTCTAAGGGGCCAAGGCCTCGGTCAGGAAAGACCACCTGGACGGGGCTCATGCCGAGAGGCCTGGCTGCACAAGGACAGCGGGAGAGTGGTCTGCGGGAAGGACACTGCCCGGGCAGCCGGGCCCCACAGCAAATCCCCCGTGTCAGGGGAGCATGTGAGACTCTGTCTGAAGCCCAGAACACACCCTTGCCCCTGGGAGCCTGTGTGCAGGGCAGCACGAGGAGGAGCCTGGGGTCGGTGCTCACCAGCCCTGCGGCCACAGCCCGTGAACCAGCCCTGCTCCACTGGTGGGCTCCTAGGGGTGGGCATGCCTGTCCATCTGCTGCCCCTGCTGGGCAGGGGACCGGTTGGGGGAGCTAAGATGGATTCCAGGCCCGCTCCTGCAGGGTGATCTCTAAGCTGCCCACTTCTATCCCCTAGCTGGCCTTAGTGACTCTCAGCAGAGACATCCTGACACCCAAGCTCCTTAGAGGACCGACTTCCTGTGCTTCCTGCACCCCCACCCTGCTCCAGCCCAGCTCCTCCCCAACACCCTGCCACCTCCCTCCACTCCGGCAACTCCTGGAGAGCAGGAATCAGGCCAAGGGCCACCCTTGGGGAAGACACGTGATGTCACTGCTGATCCTACACAGGACCATGCTCATCGCCACAGGTGTCCAGCCGAGCCTCGAAAGAGAAGGTATATGGTCAGCGAGTCCCGGCCTGGCCTCTCCTCGTGGGCCCCTCCTGGGAGGGTCCTGCTCCACACAGAGGCCCCAAACTCTCTGCACACCTGGGGAACACGGGGTAGACAAACCCCCACTCCAGGGTCTAACATGTTCCGGAAGAGACTCTCGACCCACATGGTCCTGATTCTTTTCTCCACTTGGAAGACTGGATTTTCACAGGATATTCGCTGGATATCTGCTCCACTGTCTCTGATGGCGTGGATCCATGACCAGTGGCCCCAGCCCATCTTGGGCTCAGAGTCCCTCATTTGCCAGAAGCTCTGTTTTATTGCCCCTTGAATAATTTCCCAAGATAAACCCTTGAGAGTTTCCTTGTAAGCACTTAGGCCTTTGTTTATGAGGATCTTAGATCCCCTAAGAGTGTTTAGAACTCACTGAAGCATCCTCTTCCTGCTCACCACCACCTCTTAGGGAGCTCAGTGGGCTGGAAGCTGTCCTTGATCTCTGAGATCCAGGGTCCCAGGAGAGAAGCCCCCAGTCCGGAGCCTTTGCCTGGGTGGGGGTGGGGTGGCCCGGGTGGGAGTGGTATGGGGGTGGGGGGTGGGGGGCCCCCCTCTGCTCCACAGGCTCAGACTGCTTTCCTAGAACAGAGGTCCCTGGGGAGGGCCCACTCCTCCTCCTGTTAAGAGCAAGCTTGCAACCACGCCTGGCGTTCCTGCCCCCATGAGAGCCAGCCACCTGCCAGCCACCCTCCCCAGCCTTGCGGGGCCCCGCCCTCTACCTCTTCTGGGCGGCCCGCCCCCTCTCGTGATGTGTTGAATGCTCCTGCCAGAAGCCTCTGGAGCCTGCCCAGCTCTTTTGTTATTTCAGGTTGCTGTGTTTCCAGCACAGATTCCCATAGATTACCACCGGCATGGAGCGGCCTCTTCCGTCTGAGCCCCGCGAGCCCGATTCCGACCTCTAAGTACCCGACCCCTAAGCACAGAGCAGTGCGGTTGGGGAGCAGAACCCAGCGAGAGTGTGGGTGGCGGTACATGGCCACAAGGGGCGTGTGTCCTCGGCCACCAGCCTGGCGGCTTTGGGAGCCAGTTCCCCGAGATTCTGAGAGCAGGCAACCCTGAGTCCTTATGCACCAACGGCCCCAGGGGCACCCACAGAAGCCTCCTTCTGGTGGCTGGGGAGCCCCAGGATCCCATGGGCCCTGGCCCCTCATCCTCCAGGCCTCCCTCCTCGGCCCATAGGAATGGCAGCAACCTGCTGGCAGCCTCCTCAAACAGGCTGCTTCCTGGTGGGCACACAGCACCTGGGGTGGGGTCCTCAGCAGGTGGGATGCATGAGGGCTCGGGGTGCCGCCATGGACACAGACAGACGTGCTGGTCCATTTATCATCTGTGTTTGCAACCCCCTTCAAGCCGGTTTTGGGGCCAGTATTGCGTGCAGCACAGGGCCTCCATCCTGGATGGGGGCTCATAATTCCAAAAGGTCAAGGTGGGCTTTTCCACAAAGGAAATGAGCCTGGCTGACCTTTCTGGACTGCCTAGAGTGTGGCCCCCTGCACCCTACCCCCTCATTGTGGGCCCCAGGAGGCCATGAGACGCATGAAAACTCCCCATATCAGAGTCACAGCGTCCTCCAACCTCTCCAGACCCCTCCCAGGTTACAGTGGGGAATCCCCTGCAGGAAGGAGGCCCTCCATATGCTGGCCCAAGACCCCCACTTTCAGCTGAATCCCAACACAGTTCATCTTATCCAGCTTCTAGAGGCAGTCCTTGGCTTGTGGCCTCATTGCTCCAGTTTGTCTCAGATCTCTGTCTCCTCCTTATAAGGGCCCTCCCCTCCCCCTGGATGATTCAGACTAATCTTACATCTCAAGATCCCTAACTCAGTCACACCTGCAAAGTCCCTTTTACTAGGTCACATTGCTAGGTCCAGGGAGGAGGCTCTATTATCTTTTGGGGTCATTATAGGTGGGTTCGGATTTGATAACAGAGGAAGAAAATGGTGGCATTTAGATCAATGTCATAGTAAATAGGGGGCCACTGCACATTACAGAGAAGAAAAATACCCAGAATTGAGTGGGAAGGTCTGAATATCTCCGAGGCCCAGCTCCTCGAGTGTAGAGCAGGTGTGAGAGTGACTCCTGCATCCTGGGGCGAACGTGAGGAGGCTGCTCCCGACGTGTTTCCTCTGCTAAGAGGTAGCTCCATGGGCTGGGGCGGGTCATCTCCATTCACTGCTAAAGCCCCCAGAATGTCAGCTGCTTTGTCACCATCGCAACCACCGCCACCGTTATTATTATTAATCCAAACGCCTCAAGACCCTATAGCTTCTAAAAGAAACAGAGGGTTCAGGCCAAGTGCTACAACGCTCAGCATCCCTCCAGCAGCTCGACCCCGAGGACATCTTCCCTCCCACGTCTCTGCCGGAAATTTCAAGCCCAGAACCTTGAGTGAACTCGCACTCCTTCTGGGCTGGACCTCCTCCAGCCCATGACGCCAGGGCCCCCTGCCGCGGCGGGGAAAGCTGATCAGCGGCAGCGGACAGAGCTCCTGGGCCTCAAGGTGAGGCCTTCTGAGCTACTGAGTTGTGCTGAGCCATCTCTTTCCTTCCAGGAACTCTTCCTTGAACAAATCCAAACATCATCCAAGTGGTCTTGAAACCGCCCCTTCCTCTGGGACCCAGTAATCCAGAGGTCCTGATGATGCTCCCTCAAAGGTGAGGGTGGCACAGAGTGACTCATCCACACACACAAATTGCCTTGGTCTCTGTTGGTCTCCCGCAACTTTTCATCTGTCAAAGCCTTTTCCCATTGTTTTGTGCTAGATTCTACTGAAATAACCTCGGCTTGCGACACAATCACACATTTACTTATTCTATGGATGTTTCCTTATATTACACAGAGGGCATGAGAGCCCGTGCGGTAGCAGAGAATGCAGAAGGAAAAGAAACTTCTGGACCATCATTTCGGTTTATTTCATTCTGGAACCGAGGAAAGGAAAGTGTTCAACAAGAAAAGTGATGCTAGAGCCTTCCCTGCTATCTCACACACACTCACCTTCCACAAAGTTTAGCCCCACGGTAGGAACAGGGTTTGGGGGACTTGGTCAAAAGTTTCAACCTCCCAGAACCACATCTGCACAATGGGCATAAAACAAGCAGCTGCTTTATGGTTGTGGAGGTGAAATCAGGGAGCACAGGGCTGCATGTAGAAGCTGCTGGCACATAAAGAACATCGACGCTGTTGAATGATCATTATTGAGTTTCCTCCCCTGGTTTAGCACCCAATTTAGCACCACATTCTCACTGTCTGGATGCTTGATAAACACTTGAGGAATGAAGGAGACCACAGGTACAGCCTGCATCTACACACCAGCCAAGAGGGACTGGCGACTTGGTTGTGAACGACAGCTTGTCTTAAATTGGTTGGGGCCAATGTCCAGGTTTGGGGCTTGTTTCCAGTACCAGACATTAACAAACTGAGAACAGAATGCATGTTTTATATGTCTATGTCTTAAGGAGCTGGTGAAGATTCTACATTGAAACTACAAAACATTATTGGAAGAAATTAAAGAAGACCCAGATAAATGGGGAGATATACCATGTTCATGGATTCAAACACTCAATGCCCTCATGATATCAATCTTCCCTCAAATTTATCTATAGATTCAAAGCAATGAAAATCATAGAAGACTTCCTTTTTTAGGTATAGATTAATAAGTTGTCCCTAAAAGTTATATGAAAAGGCAAAAGATCTAGAACAGCCAAATGGTCTTTAAAAAGAATCACAAAGAGGAGTTACACTATCTGACACTAAGTTTTACTATATATCTATAGCCATCAACAGAGTATTTGTGTTGGAGTGTGGAAAGGCAAATAGTTTAATAAAACCAGAAAAAAGAATTCAGTCTAATATACACACACAGAGGGAAATCAGACTGGATATGGGTGCACACCTGGTAAGATTGTGGGGGCAGCGAAAAGAAACTCACTCAAAGACTCATAACACAGAAAAGCACCACCTCCTCCAGGAACCCATGGTTCCAGCTCAGCTCTGACAGCTCAGCTGTTATGCTTGCATAGGTAGCTTTCTCTCTGGGCACCTGAACTTCCTCGTTGTTAACATGCAGGAATTGAGAGAAATGATTGCAAAGACAGCTTCACAGTTCTGTTAAACTGAGTTCATCAATGTGTTATAGAAACACAATTAGTCTACCACCTCCCCCTCTCCAGCACTATTCTAGCATACACTCAGCTTCGTAAATTCTACATAAGGTGAAATTAACTGGAGGAATTTTTAAAGAATACTGCAACTCCTGGAGAGAGAAATTGGAGCCATAGTGGGGATATTGCAAAATCTACAGCATCCTTGATTTTGTAATGAAAAGTAGCCAGAGTA